TTTTAGATTTTTCCTTATGTTACAAGCTAAGGAGATAAGGGAAAAACTATAAAATAAAAGATATAAAATAGAAAACTTAAACCAATTACTAAAAGAAAAGGACACATCATCACTGTCCTTTTTTGCAATTATTTTTAGTAAAGAGGATAATATCAAAACAAGTTATGAAATTGGCGAAATTTTTCACATAAAAGTGACCATACAAGCTTTCAACAAACCGAAATTGATTTCATAATGTACATGATATCATATACAAGGCAGGAAAAATACCAGTAGAGTGGCTCAAATCGGAGCTCGTACCATTGCCCAAAAAACCAGGAGCAAAAGTTTGTAAAGAATATAGGACCATATCTACTCAAGCTGTGTTTAAAAGTCATCCACAAAAAAATTTTCCGGAAATGCGAGGAACAAATTGCGCCCAATCAGTTTGGATTTGTGAACGCAGTTGGTACGAGGAAAAGCTTTATTTAGCGTGAAGGTATTGTTTCAGACATGTAGAGATGTCAGCTGGGATGTTTTTGCATGCCTGATTGACTACAAGAAGGCTTTCGATAGAGTCAGTCATGAACAAATGATAAAAAGCTGAAGAGGACGGGGATTGATGGAAGAGACCTAAAAAGAATAGTTAACCTGTATTGGAATCAATCAGCGATGCTCCGAATAGATGGAGAATATACAGATCAGGGGAGTGAGACAGGGGTGCATAATTTCACCACTGATATTCAAACTTTACTCGGAGCACATTTTTTAAGAGGCTCTAAAAGATATTCAATCGGACGGGGCCTTCTTCAAGAGTCACAACCTCTCTCTTGATACAAAAGTAAGAATGCTGCGATTGCTACGTCTTCTCTGTCCTTTTATATGGTGTTGAATCGTAGACCTTGAACGAAAATATGAACAAAAAACTGGAAACATTTGAGATATGGCTATATCGGAGAATACTTAAGATCCCGTGGACTGACCGAGTCACAAATGAGGAGGTCCTTGAAAGAATGAATAAGAACCGAGAGGTACTGGCTACCATTAAATCTCGAAAGTTACAATTCTTCGGACATATTATGCGAAATGAATCCAGATATGCTCTCCTTCAAGCCATCCTGCAAGGAAAAATATTTGGAAAGCGAGGTGCAGGAAGAAAAAGAACATCTTGTTTGAAGAACCTCAGAATCTGGTTCAAACACAACATCTGTGCAGCTTTTCCACGCTGCTGCAGATAAGATTAAGATTGTCATGATGATCGCTAACATTCGTAACGGATAGGTACATCAAGAAGAAGAAGAAAAGATATTGATCGTCTTCTTCCTCTGCTTTTTGTATGTAGGCTTTAAAGCCTGTATCTTTTTCTATATTAGTCTCCTAAATTGTTTAAATTATCGTACTATATTTTTCTTGGTCTGCCAATATTTTTTGGTCCATTTGGTGACTTATCTCGTGCTGTTCGTACTATCTATTTTGTGTCTTGTATTACGTGTTTGTTTTTCCAAATTGTGTCATTAAGGGATCCCACCGCTTTACTTGCCTTTAAGTTTTGTTGTCGTACTTCGTCTTAAACATCTCCTTAACTAGATATATCTATTCCCAGATATCTAAACCTTGCTTCCTGCTTTATTATTTTCCCTTCAATTATGATATGACATCGTAGTGGGTATTTAGATGTTGTCATACATTTGATTTTTCTGCTAGTATTATCATATTGCATTTTTGGTTGTTGTATTGAAGATGTGTGTTAAGCTTTGTAACTCGTCTTTTGTCTCGGCGATTAATGCGGCGTCGTCTGCATAACATAATATTTGGATTTCCTTATTCCCCATTCTATAGCCATGACCTTTATGTACTGCTTGTATTACTTCATCCATTATTATATTAAAGAGAAGTGGTCTTAACGAGTCACCGTGTCTGACTCCGCTTTGTACTGGTATACACTGTGTAAGTTTTCCATTTATATTTGGTTGTATTCGATTATGGAAGTAGATCTTTTCGATGGTTTGTATAATATTGATTGATATGTTTCTTTTAGGTGTAAGACGCCTTTGACTTGGATGCAATCGAAAGCCTTTGTCAGGTCTATAAAACACAGATATGCTGGGTTTATTGTACTCGATGGCATTTTCTGTGATTTGTCTTAGTACAAATACGGCGTCTACGCAGGATCTTTTCGATCTGAATCCTTATTGTTCACCTAATAAAGTTGTTAGCTTATTGATGTTATTAGTTAGGACTTTTGTGGTAAGCTTAAGTGCAGTGTTCACTGTATTTATACCTCTAAAATTGTTGAAGTCTTCTTTATCTCCGTTCTTGAATATTGGTATCATTATGCTGTTTCTGGTTATTTCGTCTGGTCCTGGTAACTTTCTATTTTTGAGTGACTTTATAGCTATTTCTACTTCCTGAAAACTGATTTCTATTTCGTGTCCTAATTCAGTTACGTTGTTGTGTTGATTATTATTTTCCTTTCCTTTAAACAGTGCTGTCAGGTATCTTTCCCATTCGTTTGCTGGTATATTATTCTATTCCTTCAATTCTGCCATTTCTTTCCGTTGGTTTCATATGAATCTCCATATTGGTTTTTGTGTATCGTAGGTCGCTTTCCATCCTTTTTGTAAACTGTTCCCAGTGTTCATTTTTTGCTTTTCTTACCAACTGCTTGGTTTCATTTCATATTCTTCTATAGGTGTCTCGGGATTCTGGAGTATTTGATGTTTTGTACTTCGTGTAGGCCTCTCGTTTCTCTTTACATTTATCTTTTATTTCTTTTCTAAACAATGGTATACTGTTGTTGTTTTTTTTGTTCAGTATTACTTTACGTTTTCCTAGAGCTTCTGTAGCTGCTTCTTCAATGTTGTTTTTAATTTTCTCCCAGCTCGCATTTATATAAAGACATTGATAAAGGCAATAAATGGAGTCAAGTTCAATAACCTGTGGTATGCATAGTGTTTTCCAATACAGTAGAAGGGTTGCAAAACATAATGAACAAAAAAACGGAAACAAGTAGAACATATGGACTGGATATAAACATCAGCAAAACCAAGCTTTTGATAATCTGCAAGAAAAACATAACTGGAGAAAATCTGTATATGAACCAGATGATAATTGAACGTGTCTCACAATAAAACTACTTGGGAGCTATAATGAATAAGTCGTGGGACAATACTCAAGATATTAAATGTCGCATTGGAAAGGCAAAAAGTGAATTTTTGACTATGAGCTCCGTGTTCAAGAGCCATGACCTCACATTAAAAACAAAAATAAGGCTCCTTAAATGTAACGTGTACTCAGTGCTTCTGTACGGAGTAGAAAAGTGGACATTGAAGGCGAAAACTCTATCAAAATTTCGGCCTTTGGGCTATGGTTATACAGAAGGATCCTGAAGATAGCATGGACGGACAAAATTACAAATGAAGAAGTACTACGGAGAATGAACACAACTGCGGATATGGTCAACATCGTAAAGGGCCGTAAGCTGCAAAAATTGGAACATATAATGAGAAATCAAGGCAGGTATGAGCTACTCCCATGCATTTTGCAGGTCAAAATTAAAGGGAAAAGGGCCCCAGGATCCTGGCTTGCTAACCTGAGAGCATGGTATAAAAAGACGCCCACACAGCTATTCCGCATAGCAACCAACAAAGTTATCATGCCCAGAATGATTGCCAACGTTCGGAACGGACAGGCACGCTAAGATGAAGAAGTGATATCAAGAGTAAGGATATATAACACAAAATTATTGCTGAAGAGAGTAAATCACAAACATTTAACAAAAGATTGCGAAAAGCCACAAAATAAAAAACCTAAATGTGTATCCTGTGGTGGTACCCACCCACACTAATTAAACATAATTTCAAAATTTGACCTTGTATTATTCATAATAGACTCTACTTGATAGACTAGCTTTTAAAAATATAAAAATATACAGGGTATTTATGGATACACATTTACGACACAGAGAACCTATAGAAATAGACAGCGGAATAAGACAAGGGAACTCGTTGAGCCCCATGCTCTTCAATTCATTTATGGACGAAATTATCGAAAGCATTAACAAATAAAAATGATACAAAATGGGAAACAAAGATAAAAATACTCTGTTACGTAGACGAAACAATATTGATAGCCCAAGATGAACATAGTCTGCAAAGACTGGTCCACAAATTTAGCATAAAAGCAAAAAAATTTAATATGACAATCTCATTTTAGAAAACTAAAACAATAGTAGTCCGCAAAGAACCAACCAAATGTAAAATAGAAATTGATGGCATCAGTATTGAACAAGTAATGGAATAAAATACTTGTGAATTACACTGTCCACTATAGAGCCCTGGACAACGAAGTGAGAGATCAAGTACAAAAAGCAAATAGGCTGGCAGAATGTCTTAATAACACTATATGCTGAAACAGACATATTGACACTGAGATGAAGTCAATAATTTATAAAGCCAATGTAAGACCAATAAATGATAAATCTCTCAGAAATAAGACCCGACACAGACACAACGCAAAGGCTACTGGAAACGGCAGAGATGAGAGTACTGAGAAGAATTACAGGATATACGCTGAGAGATCGAAAAGGAAGTAAAGATATTAGAAGAAAATGTAACATACAGTGTATAAATGAATGGGCACAAAACAGAAAAAAAAGAATGGAATAACCACATAAGCAGAATGGAGGTGGAACCCATGTCGTTCAAATAGCAAAAGATAAGTCACTAATCGGCAAAAAAGTATCGTACGATTGCGCAAAAGATGACAACTTTCCATGGAGGCATTCATCTGCCAATGAATAAGCAGAATTGCTTATAAAGAGGAAGATGAAGAAGAAGAAGACATTTATGTCGAAAAGTACATGGGTTGTGGCGTTTTTGTAATTTTTAACATAAGGGCACAACAATTTTATTTCATAAGTGGTTAACGCACAGTATAAATTATATTGTTTTATTGATTAGTGACAGTTGACAGTTTATTCATTTATCTACATATCTACATATTAAAAAAATAGTACTTACGGTCCGGAACTATCAGCATTAGACATTGGCGATTTTCTTACACTTTCTAAACTATCATAATTAACGAGTTTGTGACTGTGGGGTAATGAAGAGAGTGAACTCATCGCTAAGGGTGGAGAACAAGTCGAAGAAGGACACGAAGACCTTAACTTTCTATCTAGAGAGTAGTTGTTTACATTATTTGGTGGCCGTAAATCGCTGCTACCTAAAAAACCAAACGTTATTATCAGAATCATTAATCACTTTCACAATTAACACTAACGGTAACACCTTTAGTGTTTTTTCAAATTTGTATACCTATCGTTAAATGGAATTACCCTGATTCTTTAAATATGAAAACGGTTGTTAATATGAATTATATTATTTCTAGATTTTATCAGTATACATAAAATGTACTTAAATTGAAAGAAAATACTGAAAAAATATTTAGAAACTCTTTAACAGTAAATTAAAGCAATTAAATTCATGCATAGATATGTTAATTATTAAATAGATACTCATTTTTTTTATTTTTTTTTATTGGCTTTGGCTTGAAACCTTTAGCCACGTAATTACATATAAATATTAGTTTTCATTTATATGTAATTTCAGGATTGTACAAGGAGGACACTTTTCACGCTCAGGGATTCATCAGAGCGGCTTTATTGTAACAAACAAGACATAAACCACGGTTAGGTAGGTGGGCAACATATATGGTAAATATACAAAGGAAATGTTCAAGCATACGATCAATTTTACACTCATACCTTTAATTTAATTTTTACAAGAAATATCATAATTAGTTTAAAGATTTTTATATTGTCTTTACTTAATAGAGATTTACGTTTAATGGTGTATTTAATCCCTCTTTTATCAATTCTTTTATCAGCCACGTGCTTGTATTACGATGTAGTGGGCAATTGAAGAATATGTGATTTAAATCAGCTATACTGGTTCCACACTCACATCGGTCTGTTGGGAGAACTCCTATTTTGTGTAGATGTTTCGGAAAACATCCATGATCTACTTTTAATCTTAAGACGGTTGACACTGTGTTTCTGCTTAGTGTAACATCTTTGTAAAATTGTTTTACATCTACTGTGGGTTGTAATTTGTATAAATTAGTGCCCCTGCTTTCACCAAACTGAATCCATTGTCTGTCCCATTTAAATTTAATATGTTGTTTGATATGGGCAAGTAGGTCACATGTGTTAAATTCTTCTATCACCATATGTGGGTGCTGTAATGGATTTTTAGCTATAGAATCAGCAATAGTATTGCCAACAATATCTGAGTGTCCCTTGACCCATAGAAATTTAGTACCATATGGATCTGTTAGTTTTAGTAACTGTTGAAAAATTTCTTAATATGAATATATTGCTATTGATTGTGAATTTAAAGTTTTGTAAGGAGTGCAATACTGACAGTGAATCACTGCATATGACAATTTTGTTCCACTGGTTTTCACAGCACAATTCAAGGGCTTTGTATATAGCACACGCTTCAGCAGAAAAAATGCTGGATTGATTATTTAAAATAAATGATTTTTTAATCTTCATTTTTGGTACAAAGTAAGCACTAGTTGTACATGTTGGTGATTTTGACCCGTCTGTATAGATCACAATATGATCTGAATAGCCACTTAAGATTTCTTTAAGAGTAGTGTAGCAAAATTCGTTTTGGTATTTTGGGATAATAATATTTGTAGCTAGAACACTTGTTAGATGTGGTATATCCAATGATTCCCAGATAAGATTACAAGGGGAATTTATTAAATTCAGTTCGTTGCAAGTTATAATTGCTCTTGCAAGTGGTAGAGAGTTTTTTTTAACGAAGTATGTAGATGTTAAATCAGCTGTATTTAATTCATTAATTATTTTTGCATTCTAAGTGCCACGATAATGTTGGTTTAGGAACTATTTGCTTGCCAGATATTCTCTGCGCGAATAGAGTGGATTTTCAGATGCTAGAGCTAGGGTGGCTTCATATGGAGTGCTTTTCATCAATCCTAACACAATCCTTAGAGCTTTAAATTGAATTCTATCAAGTTTACGTAAATTGGTTATGCTAGCTGACCCATATACCACACAACAGTAATCTATTATAGATCTTATATTAAATAGATACTCATAAAAAATTAACTAATTTTTGTATGTATTTTACATAAATAACACTCTTCGTTTAATAACGTTGGTAAGTTGCATGAATTTGCCTTCTTGTTATGCGTTATTTGTTATGTTATTTTTTTTAAATCCTACAGCCAAAAATGTCCTACTTATCCTTAAAAGGGAAAGTCTTTAAATAAAGTCTTATTAACATGCATACTTCGGTTGCTGACAAACTAGAGGACGAAAAGGAAGTTCTTCGAAGACAATAATACTTGTTAAAATAGTGTCATGATATTTATCATATGGCACCTGATAAACTCAGCAATAGCACTAAACATAACATTCGTTAGCACCTATGTTAAAAACAAAAATGTACACGACGTACATCGCCAACGTCGGATAGTTCTGATATGGCACGCGAAGAAGAATAACACGACGTACATGGAAGCCTCCTAACGAAAAGATAACAAGTAAGCTTGATCGGATATTAATAGTTCAAATACAAGAAAGACATGATTAACTGCAAAAATTATAGATGCATCAACATGACCCAGATGACATATTAGTGATCGTAACATTGAAGGCTCTGATTTCAAACCCAAAACAAACATAAAAAATAACTACAATACAATACAACTTCAAATTTTGGGTGATTTGGAGTATAATTTGCATGCAATAAATAGTGCAAAGTGTAGTTTATAAAGATTTTTATCTGAGTAAAAACTTAATTAACATTAATGTTGTTTTAGGCGACTGCCCAAAAACTTACATCGGTCAAACTGGTAGAAACTTTAATAAACGAATAGCAGAACATAAAGGGCTTTCAATAATAAAAAAACAGATTCTACATACGCACTTCACCTTCTAGATCACAATCATTCTATAAATGACGAATTTAAAATTCTTCACATTCAAAATAAAGGCCTTAAGCTATCCTTGTTAGAATCTATGGAAATTAACAAATTAAAAAACACAGATATAATTCTGAATGACCAACTTAAGACAAGCAGTTCTCCCCTGAGACTATAAAGTGTAAACGCATGCCAAAAATAGATCACTTGAGAAAGGCAATCAACCGAAACAGCTGTGGTGATAAGAGGTTAAAATAAATTTTGTAGAAGTTTGAAAACAAAGTTTTCAGTGTTTTATTGTTACATAAAATGAATTTCCATCAAGTTACGGTCGAATGCATCAAACTTATCTAAGGTTACATTCAGCAATATTTCACAGTTTTTCAGTTTTCACAAATGATTTTGTAAATTTTTTTGAAGAGTATAAGATTTTCCTTGGTTTTCAAGTGGGGTGAGTTTAAATAAGGGGGTGTTTGCTCATAAATAGAGGTTTAAAACAGCCATACCTCGCTAAATATTCAATGTAAAGAAAATCTATGCTAGTTCTATGCTTTCTCTATACAGAAAAAGTTTAGTTATTATATCATCAAAAGTAGGGAAATAAACTTTGGTCTGGGAATAAAGAATATTAAAATTATATTGGACGAAAGTAGATTCAGCTGGGATTTATAAATAGAAAGAAACATTAGGAAATGGTATAGTTAAAGTTGGAGAATTTTTGTTATTCCACCAATTTTTTTTTTATTTAATAAAACTCCAACAGGAATCTTATGATAATTGCTATGTGATCATTCACTATGATCAATGAGCAAGTTAATTCTATACACGTTAGCTAGAAGTACTATAATGCTATAAAGTAGCCTTTTCACTTTCACTTACTTATAGCACTAACTCAAACGGCTTCGTTCTCTTAAATCTTCTTATCTGGTTGGTGTTGTCTAGGATTTTGATGGCCTCGACATTCATGTGGTTGGAGAGCTTATTTTCATGACTCTCAGCAAACTTACTTATTGTCTGAATAACCGTATCCATCTGGAGGTCTCGATGAAGATCACAGTTTCTGAAGTACCATGGAGCGTTAACGATGTTATTTAATACTTTGTTCTGATATCGTTGTATATGTTGGATGTTACTTTCTTTTGTACAGCCCCATAGCTGTATACCATATGTTCATATCGGTTTAAGGACTTACTTATACAATAACAATTTGTTATGAGTAGACAGAGTGGATTTTTTTTCCATCAACCAGTACATCTTTCTGAACTTAATTTCTAATTGCTCCTTTTTTTTCTTAATATGTGCTTTTCAACGTAGCTTGGAATCGAATGTCATACCCAAATATTTTGCCGTATTTGCACAATGTATTTGGTTTCTATTTATACTAACTGGGATATGTTGTTCTCTTTTGTTAGTAAAATTAACATGAACAGATTTTGTTCATTCAATTTGATACGCCATCGCCTGGTCCAGATGTTAATTTATTCAATAAAGTTCTGTAGCATGGTTGCTGCATCCTCGTGGTTTTGTCCGACTGCTAGAATGCATGTGTCGTCTGCAAATGTCGCAATTGTGTTAGGTTCTAATGATGGAATATCGCTGGAATAGAGCAGGTATAGCACTGGCCTTAGGACACTTCCTTGTGGACCAGCTGGTTCCAGCTTTAACTTCTCTTAATTCTGAATATGCTTCCTCATATTTGACTCGAAAGTATCTGTCGGATATATATGATTCTAGTAGTTCAGAATATTGTTTTGGTAAGTAGCATCTCATTTTATGATATAATCCGTCTTGCTCCACCTTGTCAAAAAGCCTGCGCTATATTGAGGAAAATTGCGGAACAGACTTTTCCTTCTTCTAGAGCTTTTTCTACTATATCTATTATTCTATGCACCTGATCTATCGTTGAGTGGCTTGCTCTAAACCCAAACTGATGATTTTTCCTCTATAATCGGTTTTAGTCTCTTCAAGAGTAATTTTTCGTATAATATAGACATGACAGGTAACAGTGAAATAGGCCTATATGAAGAAGCTTCTTGTGGAGGTTTTCCTGGTTTTAGTGTCATTCTAATTTCTGCCACCTTCCATATCTTTGGTACGTACCTCAGCCTAAAGGAAGTGTTTATAAGATGTGTTAATTTTATTATAGCTTTCCTTGGAAGTTGCTTTAACACTTCCCCAGTAATTAGATCAAATCCAGGAGTTTTCTTTGGATTTATATTTTCTTTTATTTTCAAATATACTTTTTTTGGAGTTACACTGCTAATCTC